ACAGTGGAATTTCACAGTCTCTGAATGAAGCAGAGTGGTTCTCCAAAAGGAACTATATGTGATCCTGGCATTGTTAACAGCTTAACAGCTTGGGAATCAAATGTGCAGGAAGATGCCCTAACAGACTCACAGAATCACAGAATCGTAGAGGTTGGAAGGGACCTCCAGAGATCATAGAGTCCAACCCCCCTGCCAAAGCAGATTCCTCATACCAGGTTGCACAGGTAGGCATCCAGGCAGGTCTTGAATATCTCCAGAGAAGGAGACTCCACACTCTCCCTAGGCAGCCTGTTCCAGTGCTCCATCACCCTCACCGTAAAGAAGTTCTTGCTCACATTTGTGCAGAACTTCCTATGCTTCACTTTCAGTCCATTCCCCCTTGTCCTGTCTCCACACACTGCTGACAACAGTCTGGCCTCGCCACTCTGCCCCCCACACCTTAGATATTTATAGACCTGGATCGGGTCCCCTCTCAGTCTTCTTTTCTCAAGGCTGAACAGACCCAGTTCACTTAGCCTTTCTTCATAGGGTTGATGCTCCACGATGCTCCATGACTGATGATCTTTGTGGCCCTCTGCTGGACTCTTTCCAAGAGATCCCTGTCTTTTCTGTACTGGGAGCCCAGAACTGGACAGGGTACTCCAGATGAGGCCTTACCAGGGCAGAGCAGGGGGGTAGGATTGCCTCCCTCGACCTGCTGGCCACCCTCTTTTTAATGCACCCCAGTATGCTATTGGCGTTTTTGGCCACAAGGGCACACTGCTGGCTCATGGCCAACCTGTCGTCCACCAGGACGCCCAGGTCCCTCTCTGCAGAGCTCCTCTCCAGCAGGTCATCCCCCAGCCTGTACCGGTGCATGCAATTATTCCTCCTAGATGCAAGACTCTACACTTAGTTTGTTAAACCTCATCTGGTTTCTTACTGCCCTGCTCTCCAGGTCTCACTGAATGGCAGCACAGCCTTCAGGTGTGTCAGCCAATACTCCCAACTTTGTATCATCAGCAAACTTGCTGAGGGTGGCCACTATCCCCTCATCAAGGTCATCAATGAAGATGTTGAACAAGAGCGGACCCAGTACCGACCTCTGAGGAACACCGCCAGTTACAGGCCTCCAACCAGATTCTGCACCGCCAATGATGACTCTTTTCTCTGCCAGTAAGCCAGTTCTTAACCCACCAGAATGGTTCAGAGTCTTCTGAGAGGCCACCTTGCCCACTGTTCAAGCAGAGCCACTTATAGCCACTGACACAGGAGCACATACCAACATCTTTTGAGCATCTCCAAGAATGGAGACCCCACAGCTTCTGCTAAGAACATGGGCTCCCTTGGCACATTCCTTTTTTTGCAAACGTAGGCGATATTAAAAGCGGATCGTACTATTTGTTTTTGTGATCTCTTCAAGCAAGTGCTCAGCTTCCTCCTGGATCCTCTCTTCTATGCTCCTCTTCCCCATCCCAAAGTTGCGCAGAGTGGTGAGAGCAAACCGCCGAACTTGTAACCATCCCTCGTTGTTGCTGAAAATAATGCCTGTGGAGGAAGAAGAAAGGGGAAAGACCTGCCTTGGGTGTGCTGGACCTGTGATGAGTGGAGGCTTGCAATGAGAGCGAGTGCTGTCTCTGGGGGAGCACTGACACAGCACTGTGTAGCACTGTGGTTTGGAGGCAACCTGCAGAGGTGCTGTAGTCCAGCAGCCTGCTTTTGGCCTTCTCCAAGACATAACCAACCTCCTTGTGAACAGCTGATCCCTTGCATCCACACAGAACTTCCCCTACTGCAACGTGGCTCCGTTGCTTCTTGCCCTTTGCTGTGCACACATGAGCCCAGTCTGGCTCCATGTCTCTCTTACACACTTCACGTGGTGGAAGCCAGAGATTGAGGGCTGCCCTGCCTTCCCTTGTCGCAGTGGCACCCACCCTCTTCTCTCTGACTGCCCTCATACATGCATCATTTGCTCCAGCCCTCATCTGCCATACTTGTCCTCAGCGCTTCCCTTTTCCTCAGGGGAAGCTCAGTCAGTGAACATACCTAATCCTTTGTTAGCCCGGTCTCCAATAGGCATGTGTCCCCTGGCAGCAAACTCATCCGCACGATCAATCAAGGCTTCTTTCACCACCTCATATCCAGACAGCACCACTACTGGAGTTGAACCCAGTTGCACTGAGAAGACCGGCCCGTACTTTTCAGAGAGCTGTCAAAATGCAAGAGAGAGCGTGGCTGTGGAGCAGGTAGAGAGGAGGGGTTGAAAAGTGATCAGGCTGCTGCTGCCTCCTGCTGCAAGCTGGGCAGCCTCACAGACCTGCAGTGTTAAGTGAGGCCTGGTCCTCTCAAGACAAACATCAGTGAGCCATCAGCCCCATAACAAGGGCGGAAGCAGCGAGGGGGCAGCTGAGATCCCCAGGGCTTTTCTGCTCCTTGCCCACTGCCACTCAGCAAGCTACAGCCACACATCGTCCCCATGCACACAGCCCACACATTCCTCACCCTCAGCAGAAACTGAGAGGAAAGAAGGGAGTCCTTACCTTCTCAAGAGTTTTGGCTAAATCCTTTGGTTTCACCTGCAGTATGTTCCCTACAATGGGAAGGGGAGCTGGTCCCTCAGGCATCTTCCCCTTTCCAGACCTTTTTCTCCATTGCACGATGGAGAGCAGGCAAGCCACACAGATCAGGAGGACAACGCTTGCTGCTCCCAGGA